GAGAATTATTCCAAATTACTATATGTTCCAGAGTTTCTAACACTTGGTTATGCAGTTATCAGCCCCTTCATACTTATTCAGAGAGATGGACATCTGACTAAATGTTGTCACACTCAGTAAGAGAAGTCAGGCATTGATAAATATCCATGTATCCTTTCAGCATACAAAACACAAAACTTGATAGTTTTGTTTATGTGCACATAATACCGTCTCTACTAAGAGTAACACATAGTGGTGGATAAACACTCAACAAATAGTGACTGTGCTTAGCTAATAATGAGGCTGAAGAAAGTTCAAAGCCACAAAGGTCCCTTCCTCCATCTTGCCTTCCTCCATGAAATAGCTGATATTCTCTTGTGTGTATAAAGGATCATTCATGATCACCACTTCTGGTAGTAGAAAGAGCCATGGAAGCACACCATCAATACATGATAGAGGCAATGCATAAATATCACAGTGACTCCCATTGAATAATACAATTTATGTGTTATTTTTAGAATGAAAATAAATGCATTATACAGGTCAGCCTGGGTCCTCACAATCCTGGTTGGCTGAAGATATCCACAGGCCTGCCTTGTGCTACTCAGCCCCAGGTGGGTGAAAGACACCCACAGGCCAGCCTGTGTAGGAGGAAACACAGAGCACAGCAATGGCTAACCTATTGAACCAGTTCCTCTAGGGATAGCCTGTCCCTGGCTTCAGAGGCTGGAATTACAGGCAAGCTGCCACCCCACCAGGCATTTGAGTGAGTTAGTACTAACACTGGGAATAAAGTACTTTAACCACGGAGCAATCTCCCCAGTGAGTTTTATTAACCTTAGCTGCCACCCTCTTACAATGGAGTATTGTAAGCTTGCTGTACAAAATGGAGGTTACCAGCATGCCCTCTGCCTGTGGTGGCCGGTTTTCTCTATAGAATTCTGGATGGAAGCCACATGAAAGCTAGCTTTCTGAGATTTTCTTGTCTTTTATTAAATAAACTAGTCAGAGCACTACAAGCTTGTGGTGGTATTGTGTTCCCCAAAATATTGTGTACCTTAATAAACTTATCTGGGGTCAGAGAACAGAAAAGCCACTAGTTAGGCAGTGATAGCACACGCCTTTAATCCTGGCATTCCAGAGACAGAAATCCCTCTGAATCTCTGTGAGTTCAAGGCCACATTGGAAACAGCCAAGCATGGTGACACACGCCTTTAATCCCAGAAAGCCAGCCTTTAATCCCAGAGAGTGGTAGTAGAAAGCAGAAAGATATATAAGGCGTGAGGACCAGAAACTAGAAGCATTTGACTGGTTAAGCATTTGGCTGGTTAAGCTTCAGGCTTTCGAGCAGCACAGTTCAGCTGAGAGCCATTGGGATGAGGACACAGAAGCTTCCAGTCTGAGGAAACAAGACCAGCTGAGGAATTGGCAAGGTGAGATAGCTGTGGCTTGTTCAGTCTCTCTGATCTACCAGCATTGACCCCAATAACTGGCCTCGGGTTTGATTTTATTAATAAGAACTTTTAAGATTCCTGCTACACAAGCTTTATATTGTTTTATTTTCCTTTATGTTTCAATGACAAAGAAGTTATCTAGATGTTTTCCAAAAATAATCACAAAGACAACAGAGGGAAGTGTTCCTTTTGGACCAGAGATATTATTTTTAAATTTCTATTATTATTATTATTATTATTATTATTATTATTATTATTATTATATATTATATATTTTGACATTTAAAATATTTTTCAAATAAAATATATTTTTATCATATTCTTCCTCACCTCTAAGATCTTCCACATCTTCCCCTCCTCCCTACTCACCAAACTTCAAGCTCTTTCTCAAACACAAACAAAAACCCAAAACAATAACAAAATCTGCTCAAAACAAGAAAATAAAATTAAAAAATACATATACCAAAAGAAAAAAAAAACACCAAACTGTACCAAATAAAAGTATATACACACACACACACACAGTGCAAAACAAAACCCCGTGTAGTTCATTATTATGCCGGTCAATTACTCCTGCATGTGAGGTCCTCAAGTAGTTGATATACCAAGTGTTACTCTATTAGAGAAAACTGATTTTCCCTCTCCCAGGAAGTATAAGTGACAGTTCAGTCACTAACCTTTATCCCAGTGGCTAGGTTTCCATTCATTCATTCATTTCTAGAAAACATATAATAAGATAAAACAAGACCTATCACATCGAAGTTAGAAAAGACGAACCAACAGAATGAAAAGAACCTAAGAGAAGGCACAGGATCAGAGGCCCACTCATTCACATACTCGGAAATCCCACAAAAACTAAAAGCACACAGAAGATCTGGTGCAGACCAGTGCAGGCCCTGTGCATGCTGCTCAAGTCTCTCTGAGTTCTTGGGGCTTTGCTCATGTTGATCTGGAGGGCCTTATTTTCTTGGTGTCTTTCATCTCTTCTGGCTCTAATGCTTTTGACACATCCTCTTCTGTGGGGTTCGCTGAGCTCCGAGGGGAAGGATTAATGGATTTGATGGAGACATGTTTCAGATTTGCACATAAATCCTCAAATGATGTTAAACATCATTTATTCTAATTCTATCTAAGGAGGGATTTAAGGAAAAGAAGCAAGTGACTTCACCTGTGTTAAACATCATTTATTATTATTATTCTAATTCTATCTAAGGAGGGATTTAAGGAAAAGAAGCAAGTTACTTCACCTGTGTGTCAGTTAGTTGTTCATTTTCTCACCTCACATCCTTCCTCTTAAAATCATTAAATCCTAATTAAACTTGAAATAACTTCTGAGGAAAATAGATGTAGTAATTGTGGAGAGAGGGGGAAGCTGTACTTCAGGGACTGGGGCCCTGCAGAGGCCTTCCTCCCCCCTGACACTGTGACAACATGAAACTTGAAGTCCACACTACCTGATGGCAGCCAAGAGCCCCACAAATCCTGACAGTACAAATAGGACCTGGCAAGTGTCACCTTCCAGAGCTGCTCCGGAGGCTGTCTGTACCACAGAGGTCCAGGTAAGTTCATGGAGGTAAGATCTTCGATCCCTCAGCTGTGCCAGGGAGGGTTTCACTAAAGCAGAAGTCTCTCCCTTTGACTAAGTCAGGGAGCAGTTGAGAGGCTCTGTGATCCTCGGGACCTCTGCTCTCCTTCTGGCCCTGTGGAGGCTGGTCCCTGACTCCAGAAAGATCAAAGGAGACACAGAAATGGACCAGAAATGCTGAGGCATTGATATCCACCCTCAGGCTGGAGGTTCATGACAGAGCTCTGGCTGGGTCTTTGCCTATGGTTTCTTCCTTTTTTTTTTCTTTAAAAGAATCAATAGTGAGCCGGGCGGTGGTGGCGCACGCCTTTAATCCCAGCACTCGGGAGGCAGAGGCAGGCGGATCTCTGTGAGTTCGAGGCCAGCCTGGGCTA